TTCAACCAGATCATACAGTCAAATTGATACAAAGTTTTCTATCTAAGGAAAACCAGTTGATTGCATTGACTCATTGACTCAAATACAATCCCCCACACTAAGCATGCTTGTAGCGACAGTGGAGAGGAAAAACTCCCTTTTAACAGGAAGAAACCTCCAGCAGAACCAGGCTCAGTGTGAGCGGCCATCTGCCGAGGCCGACTGGGGTTCAAGGAGACAGAAGCAGACATACAAAAAGCAGCTGTAAAAGGCGGCCCCGTCCAGGAAACACACAGCCAGGCAGACGAGCTCCAAGGCAGCTCCCATGCCAGAGGACGAAGAGAGCACATCCACTCAGTCACGGTCAGAGAAACAGGACCAAACAGGCCGATCTCCAACATCTACAAACAAGGGTGTTGATAGAAGCAGCACAGCTGATGTTTCTTTCCAGGATGACGTCACAGCCAAACAGGAACAGACGAGGCAAAGCTACTCTGAGGAAAAGCAGAGAGAGCAGAAGGTTAGAGATTGAACTAACAGATTCTGCAGAATAGGAGAACAGAGAGAGAATGAAGCAGAATGATGAAATGGGGGTCCCTATGTCCTCCAAAAGTCTAAGCCTATAGCAGCATAACTATAGAGATAGCTCAGGATAACCTGAGCCACCCTAACTATAAGCTTTATCAAAAAGGAAAGTTTTAAGCCTAGCCTTAAAAGTAGACAGGGTGTCAGCCTCACGGACTAAAACTGGTAGTTGGTTCCACAGGAGAGGAGCCTGATAACTAAAAGATCTGCCTCCCATTCTACTTTTAGAAATTCTAGGAACCACTAGTAAACCTGCAGATTGAGAGCGAAGTGCTCTGTTAGGAACATAAGGAACAATCAGATCTCTGATATAAGATGGAGCTTGGCCATTTAAGGCTTTATATGTGAGAAGGAGGATTTTAAATTCTATTCTTGATTTAACAGGAAGCCAATGAAGAGAAGCCAGGATAGGCGAGATATGATCTCTCTTTTTAATTTTCATTAGAACTCTGGCTGCAGCATTTTGGATCAGCTGAAGGCTTTTAACTACAGTTTGTGGACTTCCTGATAGTAAAGAATTACAATAGTCCAGCCTTGAAGTAACAAATGCATGGACTAGTTTCTCAGCATCACCCCTGGACAGGATATTTCTAATTTTTGCAATGTTCCTCAGATGAAAGAAGGAAATTCTAGAAACCTCTTTGATATGGGATTTAAATGACAGGTCCTGATCAAAAATAACACCAAGATTTTTTACTTTATTATCTGAAATCAGTTTAATCCCATCCAAATGAAGTGACTGGCTAATCAGTTTCTTTTTCAGAGACTCTGGTCCAAAGACTATAACTTCTGTTTTGTCTGCATTCAGAAGCAGAAAGTTAAGAGTCATCCAGGTTCTTATGTCTTCAAGACATGCCTGTAATCTATGTAATGGGTTAGCTTCATCTGGATTTATAGACAGATATAGCTGGGTATCATCAGCATAACAGTGGAAATTAATCCCATGCTGTCTAATAATTCTACCAATTGGGAGCATGTATAAAGTAAAGAGAATTGGTCCTAGCACTGATCCCTGTGGTACTCCACAGGTAACCTTTGAGCGTGTTGAAGATCTATCATTAACATGAACAAACTGAATTCGATCAGATAGATAAGATTTAAACCAGTCTAGTGCTGTTCCTTTAATTCCAACAAAATATTCAAGTCTTTCTAAAAGAATATTATGGTCAACTGTATCAAATGCAGCACTAAGATCCAACAGGACGAGCACAGATACAAGTCCATTATCTGAGGCCATGAGAATATCATTAGTGACTTTCACCAGAGCTGTTTCAGTGCTATGATGAGCTCTAAAGCCAGACTGAAACTCTTCAAAAAGTTCATTATGGTGGAAGTGATCGCAAACTTGTTTGGCAACTACTTTCTCAAGAATTTTGGATAAGAAAGGAAGATTGGATATAGGTCTATAATTGACCGAGTCATCTGGGTCAAGAGACGGTTTCTTAAGCAGAGGTTTAATTACAGCAATCTTAAAAGCTTTAGGTACATATCCCTGTAACAGAGATAGATTAATCACATCTAAAATGGAGGAGGAGATCAAAGGGAATACCTCCTTAAATAACCTGGTTGGAACTGGATCTAACATACAAGTTGAAGGCTTAGATGAAGACAATAATTTTGCTAATTCAGAGAGTTCAACTGGATCAAAGCAGTCTAAACCCGGTTCAGATTCCATGACTACCTCAGGTACAATCGCGGATAGAGGAGTGCTTATGATCTTATTTTTAATAAGATCAATCTTATTTATAAAGAATCCCATAAAATCATTGCTGCTAAGAGCAGGTGGAATGGACGGTTCAACAGAGCTATGGCTCTGGGTGAGTTTGGCAACTGTATTAAAAAGAAATCTAGGATTATTCTTATTCTCCTCTATTAATGAGGAGAAGTATGCTGCTCTTGCTTTACAAAGGGTCCTCTTATACAGCAGTAAACCATTTTTCCAGACTAGGAAGGACTCTCGCAGGCCTGTGGAGCGATATTTTCTCTCCAGTTTCCTAGCATTTTGCTTCAAAGTACGCAGCTCTGCATTAAACCAAGGAGCAAGCTTTCTATTTTTAACGGTTTTCATTTTCAAAGGAGCTGCGTTGTCTAAGGCAATACGCAGAGAACTAGCAACCCCATCAACAAAATCATCAACCTGTGAAGGGGAATAAGCTAAGCTTTTGCACTCTGCAGCACTGCTCAGTGACACAGAGCAGAGAGAAAGTGAAGCAGATTCTTTAAAATTTATAACTGCACTATCTGATAAAGATCTACTAAAATTGAACCTTCTTTTGGGGGAGGAGAACTCTGTTAAAGTAATCCTGAAGGTTATTAGAAAGTGGTCAGAGAGGACAGGGTTGTGAGGAAATACTGTTATTTCTTCACATTCTATGCCGTATGTCAGCACAAGATCCAAAGTATGAAGATGAGAATGCGTGGGACTATTCACATTTTGAACAAAGCCAATAGTGTCTAAGATAGCATTAAAGGCTGCTCTTAAGCTATCGCCTTCAATGTCAGCATGGATGTTAAAATCTCCCACTATGATGACCCTGTCAGTATTTAATACCAAATCAGAAAGGAACTCTGAAAACTCATCTAAAAATTCAGAGTAAGGACCTGGTGGACGATACAAAGTTACAAAAAGAAGAGGTTTTCTTGCCTTGAAATTTGGATCAGGGAAATTAAGGGTTAAATGTTCAAAAGAGTTGTAGGTATTAATTGTTTTGGGAGTAATCAGTAAGTCAGACTGGAAGATTGTTGCTACTCCTCCTCCTCGCCCAGAACTTCTGGGGATGTGAAAATTTAAATAGCTTGAAGGAGTTGCCTCATTTATGCTCACATAATCCTCTTGCTGCAGCCAGGTTTCTGTAAGGCAAAACAAGTCAATGTGATTATCACAAATCAAGTCATTAACTAGTAGACTTTTAGAGGAAAGCGATCTTATGTTAAACAGACCGCATTTAATTGTTTTAACTTTTTCCCCAATTGGAGTTATTTTGATTTTAATTAGATTATCATGATTTACTCCTTTGGGAATCTTTGCTAATTTATTAGATTTTGGTCGTGGGCAAGACACTGTCTGGATGGAGTAAAGAGTGGGTAACAGTAGAGAAGCTGCAGAGATGTGTGTTAAACTACAACTCTGCTTCCTGGTCTGCACCCTGGGTGGTCAGGGTTTTGGAGGACTAATAAATGTGGCCAGATTCCTAGAAAGAAGAGCTGCACCATCCAAAGTGGGATGGATGCCGTCTCTCCGAATCAGACCAGGCTTTCCCCAAAAGGATTGCCAATTATTAATGTAGCCCACGTTGTTTTCAGGACACCACCTAGACAACCAGCGGTTGAATGACGACATGCGGCTAAACATGTCATCACTGGTCAGATCAGGGAGGGGACCAGAGAAAATTACGGAGTCCGACATTTTTTTGGCAAACTTACACACCGAAGCAACACTAATTTTAGTGACCTCCGATCGGCGTAACCGGGTGTCATTACCACCAGCGTGAATAACAATCTTACTGTATTTAACCTTATCCTTAGCCAGTAGTTTCAGGTAGGATTTGATGTCGCCCGTTCTGGCCCCCGGCAAACATTTTCCTGTGCATTCTGTGTCCAGCAGGGTTAATCTTGCTCTCAAGTTCCTACAAGGCATCTGGCCAACCTCCTGAGCATCATTGTTCACTTTAGGCCTCCTCATAGGTAAAATTAGGGTTCTCCTGGCCACCAGGCCATCCTCCATACCCAAAGCATGTTTTCCTGCAGCCTTATGGCCAACTGAAGTCATTACACTGGCTCCCTTTAGCTCAGAGAACAGACTTTAAAATCGTCAGTCTATAAATCTATGAATACATAACAGATTTGTTGTCAGTACATCAACCTCCCAGACCGCCCAGGTCTTCTAATTCAAACCTATGCTGTACGTACACACAGAACAAGAACCGAATATGGAGAAACATTTAGTTCCTATGCTCCTCTTATCTGGAACAAACTCCCAGAAGACTGTAAAGGTTCTGAAAGCCTGAGTTCTTTTGAGTATAAGTTAAAACCTATTTATTTAGAACTGCCTTTGACTGTTAAAGTTTACATTTTAACTGAGGTATCAATAGTTTTTGGTCCAACTGTGTTATTTGCGTTAGTGCCTGCTTTTATTATATTGTTAATCTTACTTGCTTTTATTGTCATATTTAAATATATATATATATATATATATATATATATATATATATATATATATATATATATATATATATATATATATATATATATATATATATATATATATATATATATATATATATATATATATATACAAAAATTTTAAGAAAAGGGAAAAAATATAATCTGTCAGAGGGAGTTTTTTTTTTCTTTTATTGGAATTTCTAAAGAAAGTTTAGTTTAAAACTCTTAGAAAGGCCCGCTTGTGGTCCACGGGTCGCTTGGGATCCCCTCCCCGGAAGTGGGTGTTGGAGTCGCCGTCATCACACCAGTCAGACCACCGACGACACGGAGTCTGCTGCTGGGATGAGGCTCAGCACCGGAGAATCACAGGGATTGATCCAGTTCCGAGGTTGAACACATTCTGAGTGAAAACGCCGCGGAGAGATCGGATTGTTTTCAGGAGAAGGAAAAACAAACCTGCGCTCCGCCAAGATGATGGAGGAAATAGACAGATTCCAGGTACCGAGCGCGGTGCAGGAGGCAGAGATGCAGTCTGAGATGCAGCCGCTGGTGAGTCTCCGTGGTTGGCTGCATCCGCTGCCTTAATATTATATCACTGCTGTCCGATCATGCTTTTATATTACATACAATTAGATCATAGGAGTGATTACAGGAAGGATGAGGCCTGTGCGCTCGACTAACCCACCCAGGAGTTATGCTGATGTAGTTTGAGCGTCAGCAAGTTTTTTTCATCGGCCCAATAGTAAATGTTAAAAACAAACAAATAAACAAACAAACAAAAACAGTAGTTGAACAGACTCAATAAGGCTGATTCTTTCAGACACAGGGTTCCTTGCTCCTCTGTAGGCACCGTCCGGTCTCCTGCGCAGCATCCGTCGTGAGGCGTAAACAAGCATCCCATCCTGACTCTGCTGCTGCTGCTGCTGCTGGTGCAGCATCAGCATCAGCAGCAGGTTGCTTTTTCCTCCTCACCTCTTAGCACTCTGAAACCAAATATAAAATACTGTTTTGTTAGCCGCATCAGCTCAAAGGGAGGTTTTTAGATCAAATTGAGGACATTGTGCTGGAGATGTGCGCCCCGTGGCCTTTAGCGGAGCCTTGCAATACTGCAGCCTGCAAGGGCGGCCTCCACTGCTCAGTTCCTGCCTGATAAGACCCTCAGCAATCTGATCCGAAATCCGTAGGCGTTCATCGACTTTCATTAGTCACTGGATCCAATGTCGAAACTGAAACAGACTTTTTTCCCCCTCACTCCACTTTAGTTCTGCTCATGCACATTGCCATACAGACTTTATTTGAAATGTTCCAATAAATAACAGATTAAGCAAAAAGTATATAATTTTCTTATTATGTCATACATATTGTGACATTCAATGTTTAATCAACTTATTTCTTTACTTTTTTATCTGTGCTTCATCTATATATATTTTCTTTATTTCTATGCTATTAAAATGATTCACTTTCATTATTAATATCATTTGCTGTATCATTTGTTTTATTATTTGCAATCATGACACAAATCTAGAACTTAGTCTATTGATTGGTGAAAGGTTGCCTGTTTTATCATGAAAGACAGTTGTTTATTTAGGTATTAACCAGCATTGATTCTTCTTTTTTTATTGGCATGTAGCATACAGGCTTTCAAAATACAATGATTTATAATGTGCCTTTGATCAGTTTTGGCTGCTTGCTCTTTGTACAGTTTGGTGACATTTTACTGACAGTAAATTGCAACATATATGACCTGGAGAAGCCAGGACACTGCAAACATTAAGAGAGAACTTAAATAAAGTTATGAGAAGGATTCAGAAGTGCATCTCAATTCCCTTTCTTCTGAAAGTGTTTGCAAATTGCAATTCACAGTTTGCAAAACCCTTATCTGCATGACCAAGAAGTACTTAAAAATCTCAAAGAATCTTGGCAATATGTTTTTATAATGGACTTAAATATATGAATTATCCCCGTTTGGATCAGAAATGTACATTGTGCTCTTCTTTCTGTCCATGGTTTGATTTGACTCCAGGACCCTGCTTCTTCCACTGCCTCAGAGGCAGACTCAGACACCAGAGAGGGAGAAGCTGTCACTATCAACTATAAGCCCTCACCTCTTCAGATGAAAATAGGTATGGCATTTTTGTATGCAGACATCAGCAAAACCCAGTAATAACTTAAACTATAATAATTTGAAAAAAATGGAGACACATCCATGGAGTCTGACTAAAATGTTTGAAATTGAACAATTCTTTAATTTCCTTGAAACCCATTTATGGCTGTAGCTACGAATATCCATAGTTATGTAATGTAGTCATGTAATCATTAGGCCTTTAAAATGCTACGAAATTTTAACGGCTACTTTCAATAATCCAGTTATAGTTCCTTAAATGCCATGAAAATTAATATATCTTAATTTCAGTACCTTGGACAGAGTCTAGTAGTGAATACCAGCACTATCATTATCTGTCAGGTGTTTAGATCCAGAAGAAAGTCAAGCTCAGTTGTTCTAAACACTTCAGAGCTATGAAAAATTGTGAAATATACAGTAAATGAAGTATAACAGGAGCAAAAACCAAAGCCAACCTGGCACAGGGATCCCACGGGATCTGACAACTACTAAGAAAACATTAAATATACTGAGTAGTACAGTTAGTGGTATGAGAAACAAGCGACGAAGGAAGAAAGACATAAAATATAAGGAAAACAAAAGATCATCTGACAAAATGACTGCCAATAAATCAACCCAAGAAATAGAAAGAACAAAAACTAAGAGGGCAAGGACCCATAATTAAGAAACCACACCATCAAAAATTAAAACAAGGATAATGAAAACCTTACAGACCATAGCATACACAGTTCCTGATTTCTGTCTGGTTAGTTTTATCTGACCTAGCATTTCAAAAGATCCTTTAACTCATTCCATCTGAACTTTTATTTCATATCATTACATGGATAAAGCTCATACTGATTTAGTTATGTGTGATGTTAAAGCAAATATCCCTCTTTCACTACAAAAAATAAAAATAAAATAGTTGGATTTAGCTGCAATGAATGTGACATATGAATTGAATTTATTAAAATGATCTTGTTTAAAACTTTTTGTAATGGTTTTATTGTAAACAAAACACTTAAGCAAAAGCTAAAAATAGACATTTACTTAATTATTGGATTTATTAAACAGGGACATACAGGAAATCCCAAAGGAAAACGTGCCATATGTGTTCGTGATTATATGTGTTAAAGCTAATTCCTATCTAGTCCCTGACACATAAAACACACATACTACTTTTGCCATCATAGTGAGGACCATGTGTTGACTTACGTTGACTTCCAATGATTTTCAGTCATTTTCAACTCTTTTTATGTGCTAAATGTAAAACGAACCCTAAACCTAACCATTACCAATGCATACATCACCCTAACCCTAACCCAATTGACACCTTAGCCCTAGACCTAACCATTAGCAAAATAGCACATGAGGACCGGCAAAATGTCCTCACTTTGCAACAACTGGTCCTCAATCTGTTGGTGAAAATGGAAAAATGGTCCTCACTCTGATGGCTGACAGTAAAGAGAACAATGCTGAGAATAGTGGATCAGATTATATCAGGTAAAACTTGAACTTTTTTCAACTTTGTAAAGAAATCTTGAAGCCTAACTTATAAGTTGAACCGTCTTTCAGTAGGCAGCCAAGAGTCATCAGCTTAACAGACATGCTGCTCTTCAGTTATTCATTTTAAATGCTTAGTGTCTATGTTTTGCACTACTGGAAATATTTCCACTCAACTAAATTTGTCTTTCTTGTAAGAATCTAAAAGTGCATATGACTTTTTTCACCTAGCTTACCAGCAGTGCACAGCAACTGAGGCGACCAGGAAGAGGACTTGTGTAAACAAGAGGAAATTCTTGTCACCTTTTCTGATCCATCATTGAAAGTACTTTAAATTGAAATAACATTTAAAATCTGGCATGGATTGAAAAAACTAAATTTGCCTAAATTAAAATGCCTTTTAATTTAGGCAAATGCCTAAACTGAAAATGGCATGTTTCAACGTGTGTCTAAAAAAGGCAATTTATTTCAATCAGATTAAAAATAAGAATGGAAATCTTTCCTCAGTTAGTAAAAGTTCTATTTTAGAATCCAAATCTGCTTTAATTGCCAAATCACAAGAACAAATTAATTGACTTTGTATCCAATTAGCGCACAGTAAAGACATTTTAGACATAGACATAAAGACATAAGCAGGTGATTGCTCTAAAAAAAACTATTTTATTATAAGCACGCATACATACCTACACATCAGCCCAAGGTCAGCCCTGTTGTCCCATTCTTATTAATCATATGTTCTTGTCTCATATGCAGAGAAACAAAGAGATCTGGCCAGGAAGGGCTCGTTAAAGAACAGCACCACTGTAAGTAGTCCGGTTAACCAGCAGCCAAAGAAGAACAACGTCATGGCAAGAACACGGTAAGAATCAGCTGTGGTTGTAGGACAGTAGGAAAAATGAGATTAAATCAAATTGTGAATTAATCCAACCTGATTTGATGAAGACTGAAAAACAAAATATTTCAAAATAGACTAATGTAGAATTTTCAAAGCAACAGATTTGAACAATTTTCTCCTATCTGCCTTAATATTCACAGCTTGTATGTATTTGGAGTTTGTCTCTTTGATTCTTCTGTTGAACGTATAGACAAGCCTTTAAATGTTCTTATCACTTCTGTTTGTCATTTTATTACTTGCCTTTTATCTCGCCACTGCAGGCTGGTGGTGCCAAATAAAGGTTATTCTTCCTTAGACCAGAGCCCAGATGAAAAGCCCCTGGTGGCCTTAGATACTGACAGGTAAATTCACTCAAACACACTGATTCATAAATACACACACTCATATAAATATGTTGCTAAAAAATGTAACATGCATTTGTATTGCAGTGATGATGATTTCGACATGTCTAGATACTCTTCTTCTGGATATTCTTCCGCAGAGGTGAGATGAATGCTTTGCTGCTATTTACCATCCCGTTTCCTTCCATCCTTCATTCCCTCGCCTCAATTCTTTACGGCTGTCAGGAAGCAAAGCATGAAGTCTTTATAAGCCAGTCTTCAGGCATGCCTGTTTAAACCCATCCTGCTTATCCATGCTAATTCTGTAGGTGTCTACTCTCCCTGCAAATGGATGATTAAACTCCGGGTGCACCTGCACGAAAATGTATTTCATGCAAAAAATGCAATAAGATGCTTTATTCTCAGTTCCAACACATCTAAATTTTAAAGCAACTTGTGGTTTACATTTCCATCACAACATTATGTTAATTCATAACATTTTTCCATCTGCAAACAGGCATATGTTTATATTATCTTGCCACTGTATGAATAACAAATGAACAGAACATAAACTGTAGGCCAATTTGGTTTCAATTTTAAGATATAACCTTCAGAGTATGAGTGTGTTTTTCTTAGACCAGACTTTGCATCTATGGTCCTCCCAGTTCTTTGTCCCAGAAACCGTCCACAGTAACAACATCCTGTTAAAGGAGCAATGTCAGACAGAACAACACTTATATTTTTTTTATTCTAAGCCAAGCAGAGAAAGGGTTACAGAAATCAGTGCTGAGATTCTTACCAGTTAACAAACCAGTGACTGCATGAACAAAAAGTCTTACATCTTAAACACATTAGACTTTGATCATCTTTGGTACTCCCCAGACAAAATGGTGTCCACATCCTTTCTCACACATGTCATCAGTAAAGCAGTGTATTAACGCACTGGGTATTATCTGTAATCAGTGCAAAAGTATACATATCTATTATATTTAACAAATTTTAACACATCTTTTTGTGAATGATATAGATTATCACTATCAAGTGAAAAAGATACTTCTAATCATTTATTTTAACAGCTTTTTTTCTTGTGGGAAATGATCATACAGCACTAGTTTTTAAAACTCGAGTTTAAAAAAAAATATATATATTTGGGTTTACTTTTTTTCTCTTTTAAAACATAGAGGGACAACTTCCATATGTTCAAATGTTTACCAACACTTTCAATGGTAATTTTTTTCATTACTAGTTCCAGACAAGCTACTTCATTATGTGTAATATTTGAGTTTCGTATATCAGCAGTGGGGGAATAAGCTGCTAATGTGGGTCACTGGGCCCTTCACCCTGATGCCTGCTTACAGGAGTGGCAGCCTACAGTAGAAACATGTCTATCACGTAACTGCCGTTATGTGACAAACGTTAAGCTTTTGAATCTTTAATTAGGCCTATATTATAATTTAATTAGGCCCATATTATAACGCAACTGTGTGTATCTGCATGTCATGACCGTTTAATCCAGAGAAAAGCAGGTTTACGCTATCGCTCAGCGGGCTGCGATGCGCACTCCCGCGAGTGCAATCAGATTCTTCTTCTTCTTGTTTTACTGGCGTCTTGCAACCAAATGGAGCATTATCGCCACCTACTTGATCTTATTTATGTTTCCTTAAATCCTTATGTTTAGTCCAGTTTGTTGAAGATAAGATGACATGATTTTAAGTACTGTCATTCTGGATTTATTTGAGAAGATATTTTTAATGTCCAGTTGTTTGATTCCTTCATGTTCCAGTCCTTTCCTTAAATCTATTCTTTGACTTGCATATTTAATACACTCAAACAGCACATGTTCTACTGTTTCTGGTTGACTACACATGTCACATTTTCCTGTTGGACACTTCCCAATAACATGCAGTGATGCATTTAGCCTCGTGTGGCCTAGCCTAATTCTACTAAACATCCCCTGTTCTCTCCTGCTCTTCCCCAGAGGCCAAAGAGCCTCTGGGGAACACACATAATTTTTGCCACTGTACCTTAATTTTGCTTCGTATGTACGATTTGATTTCTGTTTTGCTAATTGGTACTTTTACTTCTACCTCATTTATCGTCAACCCCTTCTTAGCTAACGAATCTGCCATCTCATTCCCTTTAATGCCACTATGTGCTGGAATCCATAAAAACTGAACATCAATCCCCAGATTACGTACTCGGTATAATGATAACAAATGTTCTAACATAATATCCTCCCTACATTTAGATAACGTATTTTTAAGACTAGTCAATGCTGCACTTGAATCTGAACATATTAATATTCTCAGGGGTTTGACTTCCTCTATCCAGTATAATGCCAACATGATTGCCATCATTTCTGCTGTATAAACCGACAAATGATCAGTTAATCTTTTAGACACCTTAACTTTTAATTCAGGAATGTAAAAAGCACAACTTGTTTTTCCATTCTCTGGATTTTTTGACCCATCAGTGAATATATGTACATAATACCCATATCTCTCATGAATCAAAGTGTTCACATAAGTTTGTATACTAAACGTGTTATTTCTTGAATTTATCTTCTTTAATAAAGAAAGATCAACACTAGTTTGAGGTAGTAACCATGATGGTATAGCTGGCATTAAGATAGTTAGACTAACGTCCCAATTATTGAGTTCTAACTCCTTGATTATCTGAATAATTCCCTTACTAAATACCTCCTTTTTAATTTTACTGCTTTCCCAACTTTCACTTAATATTCTTTTTGTTGGATGCGTTTCTTTTTGACTTTGTAAATTAGTCCAATAATTTGCCCTCAACTGTTTCCTTCTAAGACTTTATGGCATTTCTCCAACCTCCACCTGAAGCGCAGATATTGGAGTTGATTTTACTGCTCCACAACATATTCTCAACTCTTGAGCCTGAATTATGTCCAACCTTTTTAAAGATGAACTAGCAGCTGAATCAAAAACAATACAACCATAATCTAGAACTGATCTAATTAATGCAATATATACATTTTTCAACGCCATACGATCAGCTCCCCATATACTTCCTGTTAAACACCTCATAATATTCAGTACTTTCTTACATTTATCTTCTATCTTATTAAAATGATTTTTCCACGTAAGCAAACTATCAAACCACAACCCCAAGAATTTAAAAACCTTTACCCTTTCTAATCTTTGTTTATACAATTTCAGACAAACATCTTCTTTCACTTTCTTTTTCGTGAAAAACATGGCTTGAGATTTCTCAACAGATAACTTAAATCCCCATTTCAAAGACCAATCTTCCACCACATCAATAGCATCCTGAACTTTCTTTACAACATATTCTATGTTTCTTCCCCTTTTCCAAATTGCCCCATCATCTGCAAAAAGTGATTTTCCCATGTCAGGTTTAACCTTCTTATATACATCATTTATCATTATAGAAAATAGTACTGGACTAATGACGCTCCCCTTAGGGGTGCCGTTTTCAATTAAATAAGTGTCAGAAATATAATTACCCACACGAAGTTGAATATACCTATCAAATAATAAATCCTTTATTCAGTTATACATTTTCCCACCTATACCTATTTTATCTATCTTTATTAATAATCCTTCCTTCCACATCATGTCATACGCTTTCTCTATATCAAAGAAAACAGCTACTACCCCCTCTTTATTTGCTTGTGCTTTCCTAATATCATTTTCCAGGCATATTAAAGGGTCTAAAGTGCTCCTACCCTTTCTAAATCCACTCTGAAATGAAGATAATATCCCATTTCTTTCTAAATAATGTTATTCTTTCTGTAATCATTTTCTCCATGATTTTACCCATATTTGACGTTAAAGCTATAGGTCTATAATGATCAGGATTTGTAGGATCTTTTCCAGGTTTCTTAATTGGGATGATAATTGCTTCTTTCCACCCTTTTGGTAACTTACCCTCCTCCCAAACTTTGTTGAATAACTCTAATACTTTACCCATTGCAAAATCATTTAAATTTATATTATCCTTTCCAGGCGCCGTTCTTTTACTCTTACTTAGAGCCCTCTTCATCTCATGTATGGTAACTGCCTCATCTAGAGGAGCGCAATCAGATTCTCGCAGACATTCACTTTTTCGCACAACAGGGGCACTAGTACCTCTAGTGGTCCACCAATGCATTGCAGGGGGTATGTGAAACACTTCTGATATTTTACTTCCCAGATAAAGAAATACAATAAAATAGGGCTTGGTTTTGCTCTGGAGGGGTTTCAATACTTATTCAATTTCCAGGCAACATATTTATGTTCTTTTTTTTATTCTAATTGATAAGAATTAAATGTCTGAGCATTAAATGTTCAAGATAGGAAAATTAAACTGATATTTTAGATTTTAAAACCAGTTTTATTTTCTATTTGTGGAAAATAATCAACAGATTTGACGCAGGAGTACTCATTCTGTTCAAGACATAACCCTCTCCTTTGATCTGGGCTTGGGACCAGCTCCAGGAGCACACAACAAAGCTGTGGACCCTGGAGGCAGGATTATTATGTTTTTTTTTTATTTGTATTTTTTATTTTATTATTATTGAAGGGTACAAGGAATAAAATACATTTACACATTTATATAATTCAATTCAGTTTATTTATATAGCGCCAAATTCACAACACATGTCATCTCAAGGCACTTTACAGTTCAACCAGATCATCCAGTCAAATTGATACAAAGTTTTCTATCTAAGGAAAACCAGTTGATTGCATCGACTCATTGAGTCAAATACAATCCCTCACACTAAGCATGCTTGTAGCGACAGTGGAGAGGAAAAACTCCCTTTTAACAGGAAGAAACCTCCAGCAGAACCAGGCTCAGTGTTGAGCGGCCATCTGCCGAGGCCGACTGGGGTTTAAGGAGACAGAAGCAGAGATACAAAAAGCAGCTGTAAAAGGCGGCCCCGTCCAGGAAACACACAGCTCAGTCACGG